AACTGCCATACTTCCAAAACTGCTATATAAATTCAACACAATCCCAATTGAAACCCCAATGGCATAATTCATAGAACTTGAGAAAATAATCCAAATATTAATTTTGAACAAGAAGAGACCCAGGATAACATAAGCAATTCTAGGCATCAAAGACAAGGTACGGGGTATTACAATGCCAACCTGAAACTACTACAAATCTACTGTGATAAAAACAGCATGGTACTGGCAAACAAAGAGACCCAAAAACCAGTGGAACAGATTAGAACATGCAGAAACAACTCCAGTCACACTCAGCTACCTCATCTTTGACAAAGGAGCCAAATACCCTCAGGAAAAGGAAAGATAGCCTCTTTAATAAATGGTGCTGAAAAATTGAGTTTCAACTTGCCAAAGATTAAAACTAGACCTATATCTCTCACCAGGCACTAAATTAAAATTGTAATGGATCAAAGATCTAAATATTAAAACAGAAACACTAAATCTGCTTGGAGAAAGGTTAGGTAGAACTCTTGAAGACACTGGTGTAGGAAAAGATTTCATGAACAAAACCTCAGTTACAGGTGAACTAGCACAAAGAATTAGCAACTGGGATCTCATCTTATTAAAAAGCTTCTGCACAGCAAGAGAACCCACCAACAGAGTGAAGAGACAACCCACAATGTGGGAAAAATTTTTACCAGCTGTTCCTCAGCGGTCTACCTAGAATATATAAAGAACTTTAAAAAAAATCATACCTCCCAAATTTAAAGACCCAATCAAAAATGGGCATCTGAAATGAACAGATATTTCTTAGACAAAGAAATAGAAACAGCAAATAAACATATGAAAAAATGTTCAACATCACTGGTCATTCGAGAGATGCAGATGAAAACAACATTGAGATTCTACCTTATTCAAGAAAGAATGGCTGTTATCATGAAAGCAACCAATAACAAATGTTGGTAGAGTTACAGGGAAAAGGAACCCTTCTCCACTATTGGTGAGACTACAGACTGGTGTGACCACTAGGGAAATCAATATGGAGATACCTCAAAAAACTAGGATTAGAAGTCTCATTTGACCCAGCTATTCCCCTACTGGGTATCTTCCCAAAAGATTCAAAAGAAACATACCACAGCAATATACGTGCACCCATGTTTATAGTGGCACTGTTTGTAATAGCTTAAACTTTTTTTTTTTTTTTTGGTACCAGGGATGGAACTCAGGACTTTGTGCTTGCAAGGCAGGTGACAGAACCACTGAGCTAAATCCTTGGCCCTGTAATAGCTTAAACTTTGAAACAGCCCATCAACTAGAGACTGGATAAAGAAGATGTGCTTTTTTAAAAAAAATAAAATGGAGTATTACTTAGCCATAAAGAATGAGAAACTAGAGACATTTATAGCCAAATGGATGCACATTGAGGCCATACTCTTAAGTGAAATATAGGACACATTAAAATGGAGTATTACTTAGCCATAAAGAATGAGAAACTAGAGACATTTATAGCCAAATGGATGCACATTGAGGCCATACTCTTAAGTGAAATAAATAGGACACACATGTGTAAATATCAAATAATTTGGTGTGAGAAACTGAAAGTATAATAGGTAATGTGAAGTAGGAAGAAAATGTCCAAAGGAGAAGGGGAAGTGGGAGGAGTAGGTGAAAGGAAAAAAGGGAATGGAAAAAATATGAAAAAAGGAAACCATGGAAACAAAGTCTTCGTAAATAGGGAGGGGTAGAGATGTTGAAGCGAGGGCAGGGGAATGGGGAAAAATAAGAATCAAGATATATCATGTAAAAATACAAATTCCCAATAATAAATGTGATCATACTGCATACCTAAAATGTACCCATAAATTTAAGGGATAAAAAAATCCCCAACAAATGTAAGTAAATCAAATCTAACAATGTATAGAAAGAACTATATACCACAAGCTGATGAATTTATCTCAGGCATGCAAAGCTAGTTCAACATTCAAAAATCAGTTAATGTAATCAACCAGTTGAAGAATAATATAAAATCACATAACCATATCAAGAGACACAGAAAAAGCATGAGACAATATCTAACATTCACTCAAGATAAAGACTTTCAGCACATAAGGAGTATAAGAGAATTTTCTCAACTTAATGATGAATATTTACAAAAATTTACTCTTAAAATCATCAACTTAATGGAGAGAAACTAGACACTTTCCTGCTAAAATCAGGTACAAACAACGATATCCCTTCTTATCACTGTTTTTCAACATTATCTTGGATGTACTGGATACCTCAATAAAACAGGAACAGCTACATTGTTGATTGGGAAGAAATAAAAGCTGACTTTGTTCACAGATGACATGGTTCACTATGTGGAAAATCTGAAATAAATAACAAAAAAGAAAACTCCACAACCTCCTGAAACTAAGTAAGTGATGACAAGAAGGTTGCTGGATGCAAGGTTACTATACAAATTCAATCATTTATTGATATACCAGCAATGAATAAACAGAATTTGAAATTGAAAACACAATACCATTTATATGAGCACCTGAAGAAGGAAAACTTAGGTGTAAATCTAACAAAAATATTCACAGAAATGTGTGTGAGAAAGTACAAATCTCTGATGAATAAAATCAAAGAAATAAGTAAATGGGAACATATTTCATTTTCATAGAAAGTCTCAATACTGTCAAGATGTTTATTCCCTGCTTGATCCCAGTTATTCTCTGATTTTTGACAAATTATTTTTATAGTTTAAATGGTGGGATAAAAGAAACTCAAGAGTAGTTCACACAATACAGAAGGAGAATGAGGCTGGAAGACTCATACCACATAACTTCAAGGCTTACTGTGAAGTGTCAATAATCAAGACAGATGGTGTCGGCACATGAAAAGATGTTCACCAACATACAGAAAGATATGGCAGAAACTTAAATGCACGTCATTAAGTAAAAGAAGCCAAAAAGGCTACATTCTGTATGATTCCAACCATGTGACACTCTGGAAAAGGCAAAACCACAGGGTCAATAAAAAAACTAGTGGTTACCTAGGGTTACAGAAAATGAAAGGGAAAGCACAGAGGATTTTTAGAGTGGGGAATGTCTTCTATGTCTTGGAGGATAAGTGTCATATATTTGTCCAAACCCATAGAATGTACAATCCCCAAAGGAAAACCCAATGTCAGCTATGGACTTCGGGCCACAACAAATCAACATAGGTTCATCAACTGTAAGAATGGTGTTACTCTGCTGGTAAATGTTGGTAGCAAGGTGGCTGAGCATATGTATGGGCAAGAGGGCTTGTGGGAAATCTTTAACTTCTATTAAATTTTGCTGTGAATCTAAAAGCGTTCTAAAAAATTAAGACTACTAAAAAAGGGTGGAGAAAGAAGACTAAAAAGAGCCTGGAAAGACAATCTTTGATTTCATTGTTAATGCAATAGCAGCTATTGAGGAGGTTAAGCAGGGCAGAGGAATGACAAATTCTGGTGTACATTTATGACAACCACTGGCTATTGTATGGAAAATGGATTTGAGGAAACAATGATGGAACTGGGACTGTAGAACAGGAAGCTATTAATACACTTTAGGTCAGATCTAATGGGGGCTTGATGTAGGAAAGAAGTCAGTAAAGATGGAAAGATGTGGTGGGTTAAGAGCTTCCTTTGGATGGAAGATGGATAGGACTTGGCAATGGATTAGAGGGGTGTCTTGAAAGAGAAGAATCAAGAATAAGGACAAAGTTGTGGGGTGAGTGAATGAAGGCCATTTTCTAGATGAAGAAGGAAAAAAAGATGAAGCTGGTTTAAGCAAGATCAAAGTTCACCTTTAGATCTGAGTCTCCTGGTAATGTCTGATTTTGGTTGATTGCTTCCTTTTTCCTATTTGTGTATATGAACATAGAGAATAGATGAATAATACCCATTCATTATTTGTAAAAACATTTTTCAGAGATCAGAAGAATGGATGGGATTCTGTCACTCCCTTGCAATTCCCACACTGTCTCAGGAGCAGTATCCCCAAACCTCACACTCATTACAAGTCCCCGGGGTTCATGTTGCAGTCACACTCATCACAGTTCTTCAAAGTCCATGCTGAAGGCTCTGCTGGAATGCATTCACTCAGTTAAGTCAGGCATTTCTCCCCAAAACATCAAGCAAATATAGTTTAAATCTAAAAATTTCCCCCAAAAGCTCATGAGTCTAGAGGATGGGCTTTTGGCAGATGATCAGGTCATGAGGGCACTTAACTTCATCAGTGGGTTAATCCAGTGATGACATCATAATGTGGCAACACTATGGAGAGGTAATGGAAACAGCAGGGGTGCCCTAATTGAAGGGAGTGGATCATGGGGTACGACCTTAGGGGCTAATCTACTCCCCTGCCCCTTCCCTTGGGTTCTTTCCCACTTTCTCTCTTGTCTGAACACCACAAGGTGAGCATCTCTCCTCTTTTATTGTCTTCCACCATGCTGTTTCTGCTTCCACAGGCCTAGAAACAATGGAGCCAGCAGACCATAGACTGTAGCCTCTGAAACTGGGGCAAAATAAACCTTTCCTCCTTTAAATTATATTCCTCAAGTATTTACTCACAGCAATGAAAAGCAAAATAACACAGAATTCATTAATTTTAGTAAGAAAATCTAGAAAACCCACCAGTATTATTCTTCTAAAGCAATGGTTCCCAAAATGTGGTTCTCTGACCAGCAGCATCAGCATCTTTGGGAACTTCTCAAAAACGCATGATCTTGGGCCCCACTCCAGACCTGCTGAGTTAGAAACTATGGAGGTGGACCCAATACTCTAGTTACTACAAGTCTGCCCAGCGTTCTGAGGCATCTTCACCTTGCAGAACCACTGAAAGCCTGATTTAAAGGCTAGTAATATTCTCTTAAATATTTTTGCACTACAGTAGTCAAAAACAATACTTTCATCTGCATGATCAAAAAGTACAGAAGTAAAAGATTCTATTTATTGAGAGTGGACATGGCAAATCCCAGAGGCAGAGACATGAAAGGTAGGTCTGGCTCACCTGGCAGACACCACTGATGCACATGTCCAGGGAGTCAGCATTGCAGCGAGTTCCATCCAGCACTTTGGGTGCCAACTCCACCACCAAATTCTGTCCCCGTGCATGGCATTTAAGTGCACAGGGAGCAGTGGGGTCATTGTACCGTGGAAGCCATTCATAATACCGTCCTTGATATTGGACATCATTGTAGGCTGAGCACTGCTGCGCTCTGAAGTCTTCTGCATCTGGAGGACAGTCCTGGAAGCAGAGGAAAAGGCATATGATCCTCTGACACAGCACCCTGTGATGGGGGCCAAGGGAAGCCTGAAAGATGATACCAGAATCCCAGGAGACCATACTCTACTTATCTCCCTCCTGGGCATTACCTTGTTCTGTCATCATTTCTTCTTTTTTAAAAGTAGAAATAATCTATAACTGTTGAATTCCATTGGGCTCTCTGCAATACTGATCTATACAAGGAATCATCTTGTTTACTCTGATCACCCTTCCAGGTATTTTTTTCCAGATATTAAAGCTTCCAATATTTAGGTATCAAATTTTGCTCTATTCTAATCAATTTCATATAAATTGTAAATGCATTCCATGGTCTCCTCCTTTTTGAAGGAAACTAAATGTCTCTAATTTTTCCAGGGGATTCAAGGTCTCTATAGCAATATAAATTATTAGCCATGTCTTCAGGAGTTATTTCAGTAGGAAGGGTTATTTGCACCTAATTAACCAGCCCCAAACTGCTGTGCTTTGGGAGAACTCACATCTACGTTTTTGTCATTGATTAATTCATCTGCTGTTTTTCCCTTGTCAAGTATAATGCATTGGTCTTTGCCGGTACCAAATGCCTGCCTTTGGCTGGCTGTAGAGTGGGCAACAGACAACATAAGCAAGTACATCCAGTAAACACTCTCAGCACTCTGATAATGTGTCTGTGTAAGTATTGATGACTCAGGGATCTTTTAACTAAATTACTGACTTCTTCTTACAGATATTTCTAAGGCAAGATGCTGGATAGCCAATAAAAAAGTTTATTCATCTATTATCTATTTTTTGTGTACAGGGTTCCCCATTAAAGAACACAGACACAAAAAGGGCAAAATGTTAATTTTTTCTTATTATGAAAGTAATAGTCCTTGTAAAAGCTTTGATAAATACTTTCTATTAGAAAAAAAAGAATAACAAACAAAGATTCTTATACCTAAATCTTCATACTTGGTTATTTCTCTGAAGTACTAGTTTCAAGAAATAAAAATTTGAGTCAAAGTATAAGCCTGGTTTATGGACTACTCAAAATATTGCTAAATTACCCTCCAGAAAGGTATCACCAACAGGTTATATAAGTTGCCTTTTTTCAACAATGCTTACAATTTTCTAATTTTTTCCAACCAGAAGTGAAAAACAGAATTTCATTGCTTTCATTTATATTTCTTTTTTATCATTTAAGTTTAATATCTTTTTGTGTGCACAGTGGACCCTTGACTTATAAATGCAATTTGCTCCCCAGGGCTGGTTGTAACTCATGTTGGTCAATTGAAGGCTCAGGTCTCTCTCCTGTATACAGGCAGACCTCAGTGTCTTTAGCGACACATTGGCTCAGGATTTCTCAATTAACCCCACACAGGAAAGGATACTGTAATGTTCCTTCCAGAACTCTTTAAGGATTAAATCTGTATGTGAGACCATCTGGAAGCACAAGCGGCTGGCATTCAGGTCATAACTCAAGATTTTGGTTGTAAGTTAAAACTAAACTCCCAGTCATAACCCAAGTTGTTCATATGTCAGGCTGGTTGTAACTCAAGGGTCCACTGTACTTGCTTCTTGTATCAAGTCTTCAAAATCATTCTTGTTCTATGCCTTTTTTTTGTCTATCCATTGGAATGTCTTATTATTTTTAGCAGGTAGAGACTATTAACCTTCATAATGAAGTTCCCAATTTTGTCATTTGTGTTGGAACTATTTAACTTACTTATTTTTGATTTTAGCACTTTGTGAAGTGATGAAGTTTTGAGTTTTTATGCAGTCAGTGCTATTAATATTTCCCTTTATGGTTTATTTCTTCATTAATAGCCTAGAAATGCTTTTATGCTGCCCCAAGGACAGAAAAATATCCTAATGTATTCTAGTTCTTTTTTAGATAGGCAATTGTATTTAACTCTTTCTTATACCTTAAACTTATTCAGATGAATGGTGTGAGGGAGAAATCTGGCTCTACTTTCTTCCCCACAAGAAGTTGCTAATAATTTTCAGACATAGTTCTCATTTATCCTCTTTTTACTACTTGACTTTTGTGTTTTACTGTGTATTAGTCAGTGCTCACAAGAAGTTGCAGGACTAGGACAAGGCTCCTCAAAGGACTGCCCATGCTCTGAATCAGATTTAATGCAGGACATAGGAATTTACAAGATTGGCCTATGGTCTACAATGGCGGTCTACAGAGTCAAATGTAGAAGAATTTAAAAGATCTGTCAGCATGCTAGCAACCTGAAGAATCCAGTTGAAGGTCTGGAGCCGATGGCAATGTCCTCTGCATCAGAAAGCCAAAGGATCTACGAGGGAAGCCCAAGGAGTCTGTGCCTAGAGGTCAAAGGGTCAGTGCTAGAAGCTAAGGTAAAGAGTCTGAATCACCAGGGCAAAAGGCAGGTGCTGGAAGCTAAGAATCTGCTCCAAAGCCAGAAGAGGACACCCAAGGGGAAGGGGAAGACCAGAGCTCCTCAGAAGAGAACAGCCGAAGTTCCTCTGAGGAAAATCAGCCAGAAAGAACCTCTCAGCTGAAATCCTTCCCTTCTGTTCTCCATTCTGACAAGAATTCTCCTTAAAGTAGGTCATCCACACCCAGAACCATCCTGACTCAATTCAACTGGGCATTCCCCATTCAAGTCAACAATTTATCAATACCACCACATTCTGCGTGTATGCTTCTGGCCTTTATAAACAACCTCTAAACTTTTTTAAAAACAGTAAGGAATAAATAGAATATAATTTAAAAACTATCCACTGGGTTAGTTGTATTATTTTTCTGTGAAACATTCCAAAATAAATCCTACATTATATCCACCTTTTAGCCAGATTAAATCTTAACCCAGCAAGCCAAACTGAAGAAGCCTGAAATTGGATGAATTTTCTCTCATGAAATAAAGACTTTGTCCTCCATCTGGCCTTAGGCAAGATCAGTGATAAGATGACATCACCTCTTGCTCCTCCAGTTGTGGCCAGTTCTCTGTGTATCTGACTCTGAAACAAAGCAAAATGTTCAAGAGAGTAAGGTGCAGGGGATTCCCCGCCTGTGAGGCTGGCTGATGTGGCAGTGATCTCTGGGGACCAAATGTGCTGGCTGCCTGACATTCCAGACACCAAGCAATCCTCAAAAAAAAAAAAAAAAAAAAAAAAAAA